AGAGGCTGTCCTCATTGTTCAGATGAGGCCAAACTAGAAGCAGACCAGCTAATCCATGGGTCTTCACGGTGTGACGATAACACTTGTTTAAGTCTTATTTGTGGTTTCCCATTGTAAGCACTGGTGCGTGGCAAAAGATCTGCGATGACTTTAGCAGTGTTGGAGATGTCCCTTGTGTTAATGATTAACTGCCGGTGGAGTCCAGATGCCTTACCACTTGAGACGAGCATTATCACTTGACGAAGTGTAGGAGTATGTGGAGAGCTACGGTTAACGAGCATCATGGATGGCTAGCTCACAGTAGCATGTCGAAGACGCTGAACAGACGGGCCCAGAATTCATGGCAAACACGCTGTAACGTTTTTGGCATCTGTAACAAGTTGGGGAAAACGCTGGAAATGCAACGCATCGTGGCAGCGCTGTTAAGGAACTCCGACCACAAAATTTAGGAAGCTTTAACCGTGGTGTTCCGAGGCGCTGGTTAGCAACGTCGGTTTCTTCAAAGAGGATACGCTGTCAGACGCATGAATTGTGTAACGGGCTATGAACCGAGGCCTGGAGAACGCCGGACTTGTGTCACAGTAGTATGTACCGGAAAATTGTGAGAGGTCGAAAACTTACTCTCTACAGACTTGATGTCAGAGGAGCCGCTCAAATGACTGAATGAGAGACAGAGGCCTACACCCAAAATCATATCTGGTAGCGTTCATGGTGGCTTCGTGTGGCAAAAGGCGTTTGGGTAGTTTGCGTTATTGCACAAGGTACTGAACATGACCGAGGCTGGCGACTGAGCTGTTGTCCACTTCTGGCTGGACAAAACCGTCTTCGCACAGGTGAGGGTTAACAAAGGATTGGAATGTCCAAGGCGCGTTGCTCAAACGAGCTGAAGATAGAAGACATTTTAAGAAGATAGACGTATGTTGACGGCTGTCTTTTTGACGTCTTAGTTACGGTCACCATGCAAGGATAAGCGCGCACAGTGTCCAACTTCCATAAGATAGTTAACATAGCCGACGACCCATTAAGCTGGCTTGTGTGGGATCGGGTGCCGATTAAGTTCCAAATTACAAATGCGTGCTATGTAGGTCCTGCGAAGAGGCCATTACCTGGAGTCTCTCTGAAAGGTCATGTGCGGGGATAAAGACCATGAAAATGACGGCTTCTAACAGCCTTCCCATTCTGAGTTTCGCTGCACGGAGTGCATCCAGAGCGATGCGCGGGGAGACATAAAGGCATTGGAGGACCTCACTTGAAGATAGAGTTTGTCATCATTGTGGAGACGCAAGCCGTACGCAACGAAAACCAAGTGAGGTCACGTAAGATGTTTGACAGCTCCGAAGACGGTTGGCCGTAAGATCGATCGCTAACACTGGAGGACATACGGGAAGATGATGGGCATGGGGCTCATGCGTGACTTGCCTGTGATTAGCATCGAAGGATACTCCTTGCCGAGCGTCTAACAAGAGGCCGGCTTGCCCAATGAAATTGATACGAGCGATAGACGTAAGCCCGCGACTGCAAGGGTCAGGCGCTAGCACAGGTGAAAACGATGTCTAAACTAGCTGGGTCAAGTCGCGGCAGGAAGAACTAGGTGGACAAGTTTTCAAAGGGGGCGATGCATCGGGAAAACGCAACCTACCATAGAGAAGAGCTAACGCTCCGTGTTCACTTGAAAAACAGCGAGCAACTATCAACGGAGATGGATTGTAGATTAACGGAGACCAAGAACGGATAATCGCTCGAGTATCTACTTCGGTGTGACAAAGAAGCAGACACAATCGTCCACTGAGGCACAACATCAGTGAGTGGTGCCAAGTCTGAATAGATATTATTAAGCGGAGAGAGCGAAAAGAGTTAATATATCATGAATTTGCTAACTATCACGAGAAATTTGGCCGGCGCTACATTTAACTTTTCAAGGTTTTAGTTCCGCTCTCACATCAGCAGAGGGACCTCAACTAAGGTGACTCAGGCCGTCTATTTATGCGAGCATATAGTCGCCTTTTGTTTATCGGGCTTCCAGCTTTTACTATCTCGGCGTTCTTGGCATTGCTTTTCGACAAATCTTAACATAATCATATGAGAGTAGGCAGGATTTTCCGGAGGTCCCTAACTTACTGTGTTCGCCTAGTATGACAGAAAAGCCCATGACACCTGTCGTTAGGTTTCCAGTCTGGTTTCTTTAGGAATATGGTAGCAGATCACCATTTGCTGTCATCCGACTCACCACCATTCCTATCTATGCATGACCGAGTTGCCACACCTGCTGAGCCGATCCAGCAAACACTGTGGAGTTGCTTTTTCTGCAAAGCATAAGTGTAAACGGCAACTGAAGCGTGAGTATCATTTGAAATGGTAGGTTTTCTTAAGGAGGTTACCAGTAAAACGCAGTTAGGATGTAAACGTTTGAGCGTAACCAAAGCTAGTCTAGTCAGTTACACTCACTAGTATATTGATGTTAATCACACTGAATACCAGCACCCGTTGTGTGGTAGGTAGTTTACAGCACAGCTTTTTCCGAAAATTGGACGCTCTGAGGAAGCCTTTACAACCAAACCAGAACCAATGGCCGGTCTCCAGGCATAGACTAAAGGGAGGTAGTTATAACACCCGAAGCTGCTGTACCAGCTGTAAACTAGATCAAATATTCCGAAAGACACGTCGCTTGAGTATAACCAACTGATTAAGAGTCGGTATTTTGGCCGTCAGCGAAACGTGGCTGACTGATGAAGCAATCTTTTGAGAAGCTGGTACCGAATGCGTCTGAATCGTCTACCTCACTAGAGGAAAACGAAGTTAATGTGGTGATTTAGTCGCACTAACCGCTGATCAATTCAGAACCCCGTTGAAAAGATTGGCACCCTACGCTGCGGTATTCGAGGTAGACTGGATGGAAATATGTGACCCTGATCGGTGGGTACGCTTTAGTGCTGCACTACACAGAAGACGATAAGGACGGGTTACTCATCAACATTCCGTTCATTTACAAAGGGTGTATCACTCGCTTGATTAAACATCTGTTGATCATGATCTGCTCCCTTGAGAAAACATCCAAAACACAATGATATTCGGAGCGTCAACAACAACAGCGACCTAATTCTTAGATGATTCGCTATTCACGCGCTGCTCCTCAGTAGCACCAGAATTTACCTTGGAGGATGATACCACCAAGTGGAGAAAACCGCTTAGTGGCCTCTCTTATCTGCTTGATCTCTCTTATGGCGACGGGCACTTAAAACGTTGTGCATCATACCAGTCTCTATAGGAACTAGCTATAAAACAGAACTTAGCCCCTCCAAAGAAAGACTAAGATCCAGCCTTGTAGTCCACACTTTAGTGGTGGCATCCATATCTGCGTACAGTATGATAGAGGAAATATCTAAAAAGTGCCCTAAAATCAGTCGGACGTACCAGCATAAATTGTTGTCTGGACTGACAGTCTCCAATCCATCCAGTCCAAAAATAGTATGGAAAAACTTGAATTACCAAACCCCGATGCCGTTATTCACCCAGATTTGGGAGCAGCAGCCAAATTGCTACGTCTGATTGGCGACCAAGATGAGCTTGATTATTGTGAAAAACCTAGTGTTCATTTTGTTTCCTGCTCACACTAGCAGCGGATATAAGAACTGGCTATTGATCATAACAGAGAGATTTCTGTGCTTTTTGCAGACCAAAAATCATCAGAAGTCTTCAGGGTACTGACACGAGACTGCAGGAGACGTCTTTCACAGAAGCGATTGGCGAATGGCACGAGTGCCACAAAAGCCTACTGAAGCTACCGATGAACGTCTACCGGGCTGATGTAAACAGACTACATGAGAGAAGGGTGAAATTGGTTTCGGACATTTTTCTACTTGTCGAATAGATAATACGGGTGAACATGCAGTCACGAAATGGTAAAGCAACCAAATAGGACGTGCTTACAGTGGAACTATTCGAGTATGGTAGCCTCAATTTGAAGAATGCGTGTTCCCAATCGGCCAACTTCAGTTGGTCGAACAAAGAATACTCAGATGGTGCTACCGAATGCAGGAAAAGATGGTAGAAGTTCTCCTGATAACTATAGTTACCGCTGTACGCGGCGACATCAGATAACTCGGACGAGCAAAGAATCCCTTGGGGTGGTTGCTGCAAAACTGCCTGATCGCCGGAGCTGCCAAAACACACACTTTCAGGCTGATTCCTTTTGTACCCCGCTCCGTATTCAGCCAGTTTGGTGGATCATTTTACGGGTTCTCTCATGGTTTAGTCCTCATTGTGGCACACAGCCTTCGTAGCGCTGGATGACACTCAATCTATTGTTGAGTTTATGTTGTGTGTGTCATGTCCTCGCTGTTTTCACAAACTATTTCTGTAAGAATTAAGTTCCGCACGTATGTCAGTATAAACAGACGAGCTAGAAATCCAAAATTCAGCACAGCGTAACAAGTGCAATATATGTAATCGAATTGGCGTATGTGCACAGCATATGGAATATTAAAACAAGAGAATAATGAATAGAGCAATCAATAGAGTATCAATCATGTTCATCACTATTTACCAAACCTATACACTCTGCTAGCATCTTTTTCAGATTAGCCCCACCACTAATGCAAAAAGTGTATGTGCGAAAAGTTAAGCCCCGCCACTTCTTGCCAGCTCCAACTGAATGTACGCACACAACGTTGACCTATTTTTGATAAAAACAATACCTTAGCCGGATCTGGGCTCATTTTGTGAAAAAATGTTCTCCGTTCGGACGTAAAACCTTGATGAACTCTGACACTTTCAACTCTCGTTCATGACAAGGAAACGGTAGTACGTTTCTTGCAAAGCCACGGGGTGATCCATCAGCCACGTTTATGCAACAATGGCCACCAAATGACGTTTCCAACTGTTTCTGACAGGCTGAGCTGTAATGCCCGAGAGTGTCGGCAAGAAATCGGTCTTCTAAAGGGAACCTGGCTGGATGGAGTTCAGGACAAATAATTTTGGAAAAATCAAATTCTGATCAGAGAAATTATCAATTAGCCACACGATCACTGTTGACTTAAAGAACTTTCTCCGCGAAGTTTGAGCCTGGCGGCTTTTGCAGACTCAAAACATTAATCATTCTGAAAACTCTGCGTATCCAACGACTAGAGCTCCCGCACAAATCACTGAGTCTCTTTGACACGTTTAAAAAATACAGAATAAACGCCGATGCGGCATACACCGATCTTTAGTGAACAGCGACTTGTGTGAGTTCGTTTGGAGGCAAAGTTACCGAAAAACGGGCCTTTTCATGCAAATTAATAATGGCATGTCCAAATTTCACCCTCTTCAATAAGACTCAAAAGTACACGTTTCATATCCTCTTTTTTAAATACTTCTTTTGTTGCGGGGGTTAACTTTTTGGCGGGGCTTGTCTGGAAAAGATCCCCCTGCTAATTGCTCATGATGATGGGTTACCTTTACTTAGCCGAAATTCACCTAAAGGGCTTTGCACATGATAGCTTGTCGCACTTACGGTAGTTTGATTCCGTGATGCAACTGCGTCCGGGTTGCTTATGGCTGAGGTACGCAAATTTCTTGGGCTACCAAGAATCCGGTCTTCTGCTGGAGATCCCTCAGCATGCTATGCGACATGATGGCACACGGATGATTCATTGGGCTGATTGCGCGTCCGTCAGATTATATAATACAGGTGCAGCGGCAATTGCAACGCGGTTGCAATATAGTTTTCACGCTGATCGCAGCACGAAAGATTCGATTTTATTGCGCTATGATCACAAGAGTCTCCCTTCAAAATCACCGTGCTCTTGGTGTTGACTTCGGAGACTTGGGGAATTCCTTCGACTTGATTAACTAAGAGTTACCGATGCCAACTATTTTTCAAATGCGGTTGTCTGCCAGAATTTA